CAAGGCATGAAGCCTGTCCATGGGGATTCTGCTGCCAGCCTACCCCTGCTGCTCCGGGAAGTCCCAGGAAGGGAGCTGTAGCCGTTGCCTTGCTCTTAGTTCCCTCCACAATTCCCCTGCCCTTGCTGCCACAGCCGTGTCCTGGCAGAGCTCGGCTCTGTGGGCTCCCATCCCCTCACTGGGGACAAGGGGGAGAAACAAGATTTCACCTTTTCCTGTCGGGCAGGGACGTTCATTTGTTTTCCCTCAGTGTTTCCCTTCCATCCCTAAATGGCTGGGACGAAAGGGGTCGGTGCTGGACCTGCCCTGAGGGAGGAGGGGAGGGATGCGTGGGCAGCCTCTGGTGTGTGAACATGCGCTGCCTTTGCATGTTCAAGGTTCCAACTGCGACCTCCATTTGCCACCAGACTGGGACAAACCCCGTTCCCGTGCCCAGTGTTTCCATGGAAATACGTGTCCTTAGGAGAACTGTGGTGGCATCGGGTCCAAGCAGTGGAAGATGTGTCTGGGCAGCCTGAGTGCTGCGACAAACCACAGCGCGGCTGCTGACACATCTCCTGCCTTCCTTCCTTCTTTCCTGTGGGTGCCTGGCCAGGACCTCTCTTGCAGCCCGGGCTGGGTGGCCCCGTTGCTGCTCAGCCCTCAGCCTTGTGTGCCCCCCCGTGCAGGTGCAGTGGCACTGCCGAGCCCGGATGATCGCGGGGGCCAACTTCTACATCGTGGGGCGCGATCCCGCGGGGATGCCGCACCCCGACACCAAGAAGGACCTCTACGAGCCCACGCACGGCGGGAAGGTGCTCAGCATGGCCCCAGGGCTCACCTCGGTGGAGATCATCCCCTTCAGGGTGGCTGCCTACAACAAGCTGAAAAGGGCCATGGATTTTTATGACCCCAAAAGGTAACGCGGCAGCGGCGTCGCGGCTCCTTCGGCCCCCACGGCACGTGGGGTTTGTGGTCAGCTCGGGCTCACGGCTTGCCAGGGCAGAGGGAAAACCCTCGGTGTTCTTCTTAAGGAGAGAAGTGGGGGGAGAACCTGGGAAAGCCACTTGGAATTCCCCCCCAGGAGCTGTCACCAGGTCAAGGATGGGTCACGTGGAACTAAAGATGCCACAGGGAGGATAAACAGCAGAGTCTGGGGACTGAGTGGCAGGAGAAACAGCCTCTCCCAGCTGGGGAAGTGTGTCCTGGATGCTCCAGCTCCTCTCGGACGAGGAACCCTCGGGGTCTGACTCGGGCCAGCCGTGCTGATGTCGCCTGTCTCTGTTTTGCACAGGCACGACGACTTCGACTTCATCTCAGGAACACGCATGAGGAAACTCGCCCGGGAAGGGGAGAACCCACCGGATGGCTTCATGGCCCCCAAGGCCTGGAAAGTCCTCACCACCTACTACCAGTCGCTGGAAAAGAAGAACTAACACTCGTCCTCCTCCTCCTCCTCCTCCCCAGAAATACTTGTATTAAGAGTGAGCAATGATTGATTGATTCCCTATGACACAGATCAGTTACTTGGCATTTCCAGTGCTCTGACCGTGGGATTTTCCCACCCGGGTCAGAGTGGGTTTTACTAATCAGAAATACTTTGAGCCTGGTCCTTCTCCCCTTGAAGCTGCTGGGAGCATCCTCGTGGAGCTGGAAGGGAGAAGGGCAGCAGGTCCTTCATTCCCAGCTGAGCCTGGTGGCAGGAAGCCCAGCACAGCCTCCAGATGGGCCACACGGATACTTTGGTGCTGCCGGGGCCACGCACCAGCTCCCAGTGCAGAGGTGGGGCCTCAGCACCAGGATAAATCCTGCCTGTCCCTGCACGCAGCAGGAATGAAGAAGTGCCTTCCCAGTGCCCCTCTCCCAGCGCTGCCTGACGAGGCAGGAGCAGGTGCTGAAGCCAGGAGCAGATGCTGCTGCTGGGGTGGGAAACGGGCACCCAGTGCCCGGATCCAGTCACTGCCCCTCCAGGTTGTGCCTTAGACAATTTTTCCTGATAAACAGCGGAATTTTTTTAATGCCCTTTTCTAAAAGGATTTTTTAAAATCAGCCTTGACCACTGCCAGTTCCTCGTGGCTGAGCCAGTTACTCACTGTCAGTCCTTGCTTCCTTCCTCCCGCTTGACCTCTCTGGTCAAACAAAACCCGGGATGAGCATTCCTGGTGCTCTGAGCTCAGCTCTCCGCGGGGACTGAGCCGTGGTGCTCCCTGTGCTCACAGCCTGGCAGGGGAAGCTGGCCTGGGAGGCACCCGAGATCTCTGAGGAAGATCTGGGCAGCAAGAAAAAATTGGGGATGCCATCCACATGCTATGGAGTATCTTCCTGCCTGGCAGGATCGGATCCCCCTTCCCTCTGCCTGTGCTCCTCCCATCCGGAAGGCAAATCAAAGGCCAAACAGCCAAGTGGCCACGGGAGGGGGGTCTGAGCAGCTGTCTGTGGTAAACCAGGTGAGAGGAGGCTGAAGGTCCTGCCCCCCTCTGTACCTGCAGCCCTGTGTGGGTACAGGTGACCCGATCCCCTCCGTGCCAGCGGGATGGGGACAGTGGCTCTTGCTGGGGGACAGCAGGAAAGCCCTTGGGCCCCCCCAGCCCTTTGGGGAGCTGAGAGCTGGTGCCTGGTGCTGCTCCCAGCTCTGGCTGGTGGAAAGTTACCCCAGACTTTACCTCCTTCCCTGGCCTCAGCCCGAGCTGGACTTCGCCGCTGTGCCTGAGGCTTTTCTGCTGCCTCCCTCAGCCGGGAGTGGGCAGTGATGCAACCCCGGAGCCTCACCCACTGTGCCACACCCCGAGCATCCCCCTGGGAGCCCCACGGCCACCTGCCCCTGCCTCACGTGCTCCCTGTGGCCAGCGGAGCTTTCCCATGGAAAGGGCTGATCCCACTCCACTTTCCCGGGCGGGAGGTGCTGGCAGAGCACAGTCATGCACTCGTTACTCCAACGACCTGAATTTGTGATTTTTGTACCTGTCCTTCTTTAGTAGCTGCCCCAGAACTGGCCAGGATGTGTTCCCAATGAAGAGGAACCAGCGTTCCCTTCTTCTTGTGCTTCAGTGTTCATGACAAAGGGATCTGTGCTCAGCAAAACCAACCAGCTTCCCCTTGCCAGGGTCGGGAGCGACTCCGCCAGCTCAGAGCTGCTGTGCTGGGGCCACGGCACAGCGTCCAAGCCTTTGGGTATGGCTGGAAAACAGCCTTGCAAAAAGGCTTGTTGGGTGGGTTTGTAAGGCATTTTTTAAAGTATTTGGAGCAAAGAGCCCAAAGCTTGTGTCATACCCCAAGGAAATGCTGCAGCCCCTGTGGTGGGAGCCGACAGCACCTCAGCACCTCATCTGCTCAGGCCCTCCAGCAGGGACCTGGAAGCCAAAAGCAATATTCCCACTGTGGATTTTTAAGGAGTGAAGTAGCGCTGTTGCTGCTCATCATAAAACAGTCCAACATTAAAAAAGCCTCTGTGGTAAATCCAAGTGGTTACAGCAAACACAGATGTTGTATTATCCTGTTAAACCAGCGTAGTGTCCCGATTACCTCTGATTGGAGCATGTGGGCTGGGGGTTTTATAGTGTATTTATTAAAGACATGAGACTGGAATTTGTACTTCAACTGATGCATCTCATGATTTAATATATTCTGAACTCGACAGTCCGCTACGAAACACTCACTTTTAGTGCAAATAAATATTTATACATGTAAGGAGCTCTCACTTGGATTTTTTGGAGGGGGAACTTTGCTTTGCATCTCGGAGCTCAGCGCTGGAGACTCGACGCAGTTTGAGGAGGTGGCCCTGGAAATGTGGGAGAGGGATCAGGCTCACCCCCAGCTCTGAGGAGAGGCAGGAGCAGAGGGTGAGGATTGGAGCCATGGGATTATAGCAGCCACGTTCCTGCAGGACAAACCACGCTGCTTCCCCAGCCTTTCTAGCAGGGTTTGTCCTTTGACGAGGACTCCCGAGGCAGCAGCAAGAGCAGACAAGTCTGGAAAGGTTCTTGGAGAAGTGGGAATTGCAGTTCATCTGCAGTAACTGCCCTCAGGGGCAACTGGAAATAACTCCTTGTGCCTCTTCAATCAGCCCCTTACGCCTGCGGTGACGCGGGCATGAGGAAAAGGCAAGCTCCAGCCATGCCAAGAGCCAGGATTTGGGAGAAACAGGCAGATCAGAACTCAGCCAGAGGCTGCCCCTGGCACCTGCCAACAGCCCAGGGTTTGTTCCTGCTCCCCTGCCCTCAGTGGGACATTAAAACTCCCCTGAGGACACACTTTACACTCAATTCATGCCAATTAAGAACTGCCTGTGCTGGGTCTTTACCAAATAGTGAGCAACCTGAAAAAAAAGGAGGTGCAGGAAGAGCTTCCCAGCCTGGCATTTCTCAGGTGTAACAACCCCAGAGAGGGGCTGGAAGAGTGTCAGAATGGGCATGGAATACATGGATCAGCTGGAGCACCTGGCACAGCCATCATTCCAACCTCCCCAGAAACAGATCCTGGTAAGTAGCACAATTGGCAGGTTTGATTCTAAGGTGAGTCACAGAATCATGGAATGGTTTGGGCTGGAAGGGACCTGACAGACCATCCACTCCCACCCCCTGCCATGGGCAGGGACACCTTCCACTAGCCCAGGGTGCTCCAGCCTGGCCTTGGACACTTCCAGAGATCCAGGGGCAGCCACAGTTTCTCTGGGCAACCTGTGCCAGGGCCTCCCCACCCTCACAGGGAAGGATTCCTTCCCAATATCCCATCTATCCCTGCCCTCTGGCAGTGGGAAGCCATTCCCCCTTGTCCTGGCACTCAAGGCTGTTGGAAATAGTCTCTCTCCATGTTTCTTGCAGGCTCCTTTCAAGTCCTGAAAGGCCACAATTCAGTCACCCCAAAGCTTCTCCTCTCCAGGCTGAACAATCCCAACTCTCCCAGCCTTTCCTCCCAGCAGAGCTGCTCCAGCCCTCGGATCCTCTTGTTGCCTCCTCTGGACTGGCTCCCTGAACCCAGAGTCAGCCCTGTCACTCATCCCTGCCCTCAGCCCCAGCACTAACATGACAGGGCAGGATTAGCATCCCACATCCCATATCCCAGACTTTTCCCATTTCCATAGCACGGTGTTTCTGCTGTGTGTCAGAGCAATGTGCATCTCCCGTTGTTTTTTGTAATTCAGTTACTTTTAAGCCCCCCTCCCTCCTCATTTGCTTTTAAGATTAAATTGGGTCAAGCTCAGCCCTGCTGCATCCCCAGCCCAGCATTCCAGGAATAGCAGGGAGCAAGCTGTGCTGGATGGACACTGTCAGCAGCCCCCAACACTGTGTGATGGCAGGGCTCCAGCCCTCTTTATTTCACTTTATTTTCCTTTGCAGTGCGTTTGGTTTTACATCATTCTCTGCTTCCAACGCCTCCCTCCCCTCCCAGGCAGCAGAGCTGTGACACAGCACTCCACCCCAGGGGTAGGAAACAATTCCCTTTGCAGATTTGTGTTCAATTAGTGCACAGTTCGTAGAATTAGACAAAGAAAAATCAAGCTCTTGAATATCTCCGACAAAAACTTCACCAAAACACTTTTGCCACTCACGTTTGCAACCCTTTGCCTCCGTCGCGACAGAACGTGAACTCCCCACAACTGTTACCAACAAGTACAGCACGTTGCTAAATCACATTTACAAGCCTAAAACCCTTCCTCTCCTCTCCAGTGTCACGGATCCAAGCGTGTGACAGAGCCAAACTGGGGTGGTGCCACACTGGGGCCTCCAGAGGAGACACAGAGAGCAGCCAGTCCTCAGCACAACACACAGGAGCTCAGAAAGCCACGGCCCCAGAGAGCTCAGAACACGGGGGGGCTTCAGGAAAAGACCAGGGAAGAGTCTACTCTAATTGCTCACATCAAGGGAAAACCCAAAATAAAACCAGCGTTCATTTAAAAAGCAGAATTCATACAAAATTAAAAGTATTCCAACATTTGTACAGAGTAGTTTGCTATCTTTACTAAATGGCACCGGATTTCAAGTGGTCACGTGAAAGAGAAATCAGTAGCATTTCAAAGTTTGCTTTGTTCTAGAAGCAGTTTCTATCTTGGTATTTGCTGCTAAAAGGTAGAAGTGAACTGAGTATCGAGGAACCCTTCATCTATACATCTTCTGATTTGGTTTGCTTCAGTTAAGTAGAAAAGATTTTCCATACTCAAGTTATCTACAGATTATGTCTATATATATAAAAAAAAGTGTGGCTATGTACAGGTCACAGGTAGCACAGCCCTGCCACGGATTGTCCCCCTCACCCCGGTGCCCCCGTGTCCCACCTGCTGGAAGGCTCCTCAGTGGATCAGTGTGGGACAACACTCTCGGGCTGGGCTCAATTGTTCCACTCATGATCTCTCGTTGCACTTCCAGTGGCGCGCGATGGAATTTCAATAACTTAGAAGTTGTTGTATCAAAACGATTCCAGAAAACAGAACTCCCTGGGCCATCCCCACTCCCGCCCCCGGTTTTGCTAACTGATTACAGAAGTCAAACTAAATCACGTCAGGAACTGCAAACACGCTCTTTGGGCTTAATCAAAAACAATCTCCATGGCGAGGTTCTGCATGGAGACATCCTTGGATTTCCTCATCTTCTCGATGGCCCTGTGGAGATCCTGCTGCTGCACGGGCCGGATTTCATCCTCGTCGTGGCTGAGAGAGAGAGAGGGAAAAACAGCAAGGTGAGGGTTCAGCTGCTGGGGAACAGCTATTCCAGCAGTCAGCAGCAATCACTGGAAACAGGGGCTCTGATGTGGATCCAGCATCACACTGGAATCCCAGAAGCATTCAGGCTGGAAAAGCCCTCCAAGGTCACTGAGTCCCCCCTGTGCCCGATGCCCACCTTGTCCCAGAGCACTGGGTGCCATGGCCAGGCCTTCCTGGGACACCTCCAGGGATGGGCACTCCAAACCTCCCTGGGCAGCCCCTGCCAAGGCCTCACCACCCTTTCCAGCAACAAATTCCTCCTCCTGGCCAACCTGAGCCTCCCCTGGCACAGCTGGAGGCCGTTCCCTCTCCTCCTGTCCCTTGTTCCCTGGCAGCAGAGCCCGACCCCCCCCCCCCCCCCGCCCCCCCCTCCTCTCAGGGCCCCGCAGAGCCAGAAGGCCCCCCCCCAGCCTCCTTTTCTCCAGGCTGAGCCCCCCCAGCTCCTTCAGCCCCTCCTGCTGCTCCAGCCCCTTCCCCAGCTCCGTTCCCTTCCCTGCACACGCTCCAGCACAGCCCCTGTGCACACAGGGATTCCCTGTGGGTGTGGGAGATCCCAGAGAAACGTTGCAGCACCGTGTCACCAGCACTGAACCCTGGTACTAGATACTGCAGCACCACGACTTGTTGGCTCATGCCACCTCCAGCCTGGCGCCTTGGCACAAACACTCTTATTTCCAGAGCCAAAATCAATACCGGTAACTTTGATTTTGAAAGTTGGGCGGGTTTTGGAAAGGCAAACGAGACCCTCCTGCACTGCGAGGGGGTCGAACCCCCTGTAAATTCCTGACTGCAGTGAGAGCACCCAGAGGCAGGGCTGGGCAGGGGGCCGGGAGGGCGAGGCACGTACGTGTCCTCCTCGCAGGCGTTGTTGACGTACTCCCGCACGCAGAGCAGCGCCGCGTCCCGGCACATCTCCTTCAGGTCGCTGCCCGAGAACCCGTCCGTCTCCTTGGCGATCTGCAGGAGGTCCACGTGCCTGTCCACCTGCCACAGACCACAGGGTCACAGCACGGAAACTCCACAAGTGTTGACTTCCCTCACCGAGGACAATTGAGTCACCTCCGAGTGTTTCTCCCTGCCCCGAGATCACCTTCTTCACCCGGTGTTTTGTGAGAGGTGAGTTATCAACTCACAGCTTGGAACCCTCCAAGGAGTTCATTTCAGTAAAGGAACTGAGGCTTCAGCTCATCAAACTCTGGACTTGATGAAGAAAACCCACCAAGAGCCAACCATCCCATCAGCCTATCCCATCACTAACCAAGCTCCTGCGGGGATCTGGGTGGCAAAAACTGGAGCACAGGAACAATGCCCCGTTTTCCCAGGTGCCCACAGAAGTTTCTCAGCAGCTCTGTTGTCTGGACACCTGCTCCTACTTTATACGACCCCAAAATGGAGATTTAGAGGCAAAATAACGTGTCTAACTCCATGCACTGGACCAGACTGAACTATTCCCAGTCAAGACCCCACATTTATTCCATCTTTTTACCCTTTTTCCAGTCCATCAGTATTTCCTTTACCTTTGCAGCATCAGATTCAAGACAGATAGTGCTGCTGACTAAATCTGGGAGGAACCACTGATAACATGGATCCCATATCCTGCCCACAGACACTTCCAGGTGTGCTCACACCGACCCCTTGGAGGGCAGATGGGACACAAACACCACACAGTAATGGTAACAACACCTGCAGCAGCTTTCCTCTAAAGGGAATATGAATTATGGAGCAAAAGCAGCACTGTAAAAAAGTCATTCCTCCTTTCTTGACCTGAGCCAAGAAAAAGTTAAAGTTAGAGTCAGTATCTCAGGAGGTCTTGAAATGTCCTTCATTCATCCAAATGGGATTCAGCATCCTTAGGGAGATAAATGTATTATCTAGTTACAGAATTAGTAAATGGAGACAGAGAAATGAAGTAACTCTGCTCAGAGCTGGTGATTCACCCCCAAATCCAAGGCTGCTGCTCTGCTGAGGCTCCTGCTTACAGGGGAGGCAACTCTAGTGCTTTAACGTGAGGCCACACCTAAATCCACAAAAGATTCCCAAGTTATCAGCACCAATACCTTGGTAGATAAACTCTCCCTCCCTCCAAGGCAGGCAATTATAAAACATGTTTTCTGCAAGGCCCCTGATGTCACCAGCAAAGGACACATTAACAGGGCACTACTTACATTTTCATTTTTCAGGATGAGCTTCAGGATGGCTTCTCTTTGCTTCAGAGCCTGCAAGAGAAGAGATCAGAGTTACCAGGGGACAAAACCAAACACATGGAGCTCCCAGTTCAGCCACACAAGCTGTGGAAACCCGTCTGAGAGCAAATGGAGTTCTCCAGGTGTTTGAAGCAATAGGAATCCCACACTGTAATGAGGTCACTGACAGAACAGCTGAGCCCTGAGCAGATCCCTACCAGCAAGGTAAGACACAGGCAGCAAAGACTTGGGGTTTGTGTCTCCCAAACTTCACCTACATCCTTAAAAAGGGAAAACAATCCCCTATAGATACTCTGGCTGCTGAACAGTTGCTACTCTGTCCCAAAAAGTACTTCTTTCATTTCCCTCTGCCTTGCAGATAATTTTTAATGAGTGATTTGGGGCATTTTCATCTCAAACTCAGCTCTAAAATCTGCAAGGCTTTCCCTCCTACCTGTGGCCATTCCCAATCCACAGCACATCAGTTATCCCAGTTGGGATCAATCCTGCCTGATCCCGAGCACAGGAGCCAAGCAGTAAGTTCACAACAGGGCTGTAGTGAGGCAAGGAAAATCTGTTCCCTAAATGACACCTCCCTTGGTAACTCTCATCCTGGGAGAGGGAGCCAATCCCTGGAATATCCCAAGGCTCTGTTACCTGCACATAATTCCTCCTTCTAACGAGGGTCTTGATGGAAAGTCAAGAGGAAGTACTAAAATCCACAACCTTGGCCCTTACTGATTCAAGGAACACCTGGAGATGAGGAAGGGCAGTGGGACAGGTATGGAAGCTCAGCAGTCACTGGGTTACAAATGCCTTGTTTCCAAGAGGATCCTCCCACACAGAGTGAAAGGCAGTTCAAACAATGTGGGCCTGGGAACACAGGTCCTCTCTTGCACAATCAGCAAGAGCTTTACTCCTCCAAGTTTTGTCTCTTGCAGTTTCAGCAAAAAATGAATAATTATTTCTGTAGCCAGAAGGGAATTCTGACAGGGACTGAACTCCCAATGACACCAACACAGAAACAGCTGGTGACAAAGCCAAGTGTTCAAAGGAGACTAAAATACCTGGAAAAGGGTGGCAATAGCAACACTGGGAGCAAGGGCAACCTTGTGACAGCTGGCTAATGATAAAGAGCTCAATTACTGCCTCTTTGTCATAAATCATCGAATCATGGGATGGATTGGGTTGGAACCATCTCATTCCAACCCCACCATAAGCAGAATAAACCTGTTTTTTCAGAGTGCTCAACTGTGGAAAGGCCTGAGCAGAACACAGGCTTTCACAGGCAGAGTTCATTCCCTCTTCCCTCCTTGCAAACTGTGTATCCAGAGGGCATAAATGGCACTCAGCATGTACCTGCTTCTCCCCCCCAGCTGACCTGGGTGCCATCCTCACCCACAGGCAAGTGTGTGCAGCCACTTTTGTGCTTTTTGTGGCTGTTTCCAAGTTAAAAACAAGCTGTTTCCCAGTGTGCAGCATCTAAACCACTCCATTCTCCGGGGGGAAGAGGAGGGGTGGGAAGTGTTGCTTCACGTAAAAGACCCAGGGCATTAAAACCTCCCCGAGAAACATCACCTCAAAAAGCCGCTTCTGAAAAAACAACACCCAGACCAAAGGAATGAGGGATTCCCTGGGGATAAAAACCCCCCAGAGATGTGCATTTTGCTGGGTGCTGAGCCCCTCGCTGTGGCTCTGGCAGGACTCACAGGCTGGTTGATGTGGAAGCGGGTGGGCATTCTCCTCATGATGGCCGAGTCCAGGTCCTGGGGGCGGTTGGTGGCTCCCATCACGATCACCTGGGGATGCCAGCACACAACACCAGTCAGCCCGAGAGCAGCTTTGCAAAGCGTGGATGGATTGGGGAGTTTCAAAACCAAACAAGTGACTCTTGCCCACTTTATCAAGAACATCGACATCTGAAGAAGTTACACAAGGTTTCCTGGCAGTGATTTCAGCACCAGGCAGCCGAGGAGAGAACTGCTGCCACAAATACCACCTGGGGGGAGATTCTGACATCAGGCTGAACTTTATGAGCCCAGTTTGAAAGTTCAAGCTCTAAGAGGGAACTTAAAACTTCTGCTTATAACTCTTGGTGATGTCACTCTTAGTTCCTGGTGCTCTGGGAGGAGGAGGAATTTGAAAGGAGACGTTTTGGCAAGGTATTCAAAAAATGTGGTTATTTTTGTGTTGAAAAAAGAATCCCAGGACGGTTTGGGTTGGAAGGGACCTTAAAGATCATCTTGTCCCAGGGGCAGGAGCACCTTCCACTAGACAAGAAAGGTAATCAGCACCTGGCAGCTTCCACATGCATTAGAAGAGTGTCTCTGTTTTTTTAAGCATTAAAAAAAGCATTAAATGAATCTCTATATGCACAGGTCCATTTGCCAGCAGTGGGTTACACTGTCCAAGCCAAGTCCAACACAAGGGCAGTGTTTACCTCCTTGGAGCACTCCAGTTATTAATCCCAGAACAAATTTACTTCCCATTCACACCGGCCTTGTTTTCCCATTTGTTACTCCGAGTTATGTACATGGCAAACACCCAGTGGGGAAGGGGAAAGATGTCAGGGCAATCCATCTCCACTCCAGAGGTTTTCCTGCCGTGCTCCTGGCCTTTTGTCCAGGCTGGGTGCTGCAGGGCAGCTCCAGCAGGGCTGGTGGCACAGACTCACCCTGCCACCTAGAGGCACCGGGGTCGCCACCTCGCTGCTCCCATCCACGCTTTCCTGGGCCTTATTTCCTTTGGCTTTTTAGCCCAAAGGCATATTTTTCATCAGGGCTCTGCCCCCGAGTTCCTGCCAGACTCCCGACTCCATCCTCAGCGGGTTTAGCCCAAAACTGAGCGTGGTTTCCAGGTGCAACCAACACGGGAACAAATAACATCCATCACAACACCGACTGACAATTTCCTCTGAGCCTTTAGGATTTTTGGTACTGCAGCAAAAGCCAAATTCTGCTGAACTGGAGAGCCCCTAAATTGTCTTACTGCAGGGAGTGAACAATTTGACTTGCTCCAAGAACTTGTCAGTGTACTGGGAAAAAAACCAATACACTGTGATTGAAAGATGATATTAGTTTGTAGTGAAGTGTTCATGCCATTTCATTAATGGTAAGCAAACACCCTGCTTTAAGCTCCTCAGTGTATATATATATATATATATATATATAAAAATGTGTATATTTACACTGTCTTCTACTCATTTTTGGGGAAATCAACTTAAAAGCATCTTTAGAACAAGCTTGAGAGAGGAGGAAAAGCAGATTTTACAAACCAATGGATGTCAGTGCATTGGCCATTTACACAAATACAGGTCAAAAAGGCTGCAAATTTTAAACTGGGAGCATAAACATCCTTTTTAAAGGTTTTCAAAACATTCTTCCAGGTGACAGTTCAGAACAACACCATGCAGGCTTTTTGCTACATTCAAGTACTTTAGAATCCCAGAATCCCAGACTGGTTTAGGTTGGAAGGGACCTTAAAGCTCCTGTCATTCCACCTCCCCTGCCATGGGCAGGGACACCTTCCACTAGCCCAGGTTTATTATAGAAATATTTATTTCGTGAATGTTTTTTTCTTGGTTTGTTTTTACAGCACCAGCAACTTCTGTATTAGTTTTCCTCCCCAAAACACAACACTTCAGTTGAGATCCTGGAGGGGGATGGAAGCACGGCTCCACTTAACACAATTTGGCTTTTGGTAACATTCACTTCTCTGCCCTTGCAGATTAACTCCAGAGCCTAGTGCTTGTCTAATCCCTGGAGGTTCCCCATCCCTGGAAGTGTTCCAGGCCAGGCTGGACAGGGCTTGGAGCAACCTGGGACAGTGGAAGGTGTCCCTGCCCATGGCAGGAGTTAGGAAAGGGATGATCTTTAAAACCCTTTCAACCCAAACCATCCCATGATTCCATGACAAACCAACCAACCTGCACCTGGGATGAATACTGGGATGAATGCTCAGAGCTTTCAATAGCTTTTCCTGAAATCAAAGATTCCCTTCACCTGAAGAAAATATTCTCCAGACAATGTTTTACAGAACAGTTTAAAAATTCCCAGTGTTGGCAGCTCAGACTATACACTTGCATTGCTGACACTTCTGGAAATAACACCTCAAATAAAACCCAAATAAGTCCAAACAGAGTCTTCTCAGGAAGCAAAACAATCTGTTAATATCTCACCTCGTTGCCATGAAGTGCTACTCATCACTGTCAGGTAACGGAACTATTTGGCAATTCCTGCCCTCCTTCCAAAGGGGCTCCATGCACAACAGCCCAGAGGAAGGAATCCCATCCCTTTTCCCACCATCCTCTGTCCTTACCTGGCAGTTATAGTCGGTGTCCAGCCCATCCCACAGGCTCATGAACTGAGCTTTCATCATGGCTGTGGCCTCGTGGTCAGTGCTCGAGCGGTTCCGGAGGAAGGAATCTGTGTTGAGGGAGAAAAGCAGTTCACTCCCAACCCAGCTGGATTCCTCCTGGGCTGTTCTCTTACCTTAGAAATGCATTTTCAATAACCACTGTCACCAAACAAAAAGCACTGCTCGGGATGAAGAGCAGCAAAGTGGAACCCCCCCATCTTTTCCATGGCATTACACAAGAGTGGACCCATCACACGAGCTCACCCCAAACCTTGTGCTCCAAACTTTCACCTTCCTGAATTCATGGAAAGCAGCCTCCCCTCCTACTTCTTCAGCCTTATTAAACTGCTGTTCCAGAGCTCTCCTAAACCCACAGTTTGTTTTCCATTATGAGCCCTCATAGCAGAAGCACTGAAGTGTGCTCAGTGATGGGTTTCCTTGTGAACCAAAAATAAGCAGCAACTTGTTCTAATTGTAAATTCCTCCACTACCATGAGGAAGAAATACGTTATTTTTCCTGATTTGCCATCAGTACTTTAAATTTATTACTGAACCTTTCTTCAATTCTATTTCTACTACTGAACCTTCCCTCTTTACAAGGAAAAGATGACAGTGATCAATATATCATTGAACCCACAGTCTCATGTCACTCTGCTACAGGTACTTCCATAAAAAGAAAGGTTTTTACCTATTTCATCAATGAAGATGATGGATGGTTGGAGCTTTATAGCCAGGGAGAAGACAGCAGCAGCCAGTTTTTGGGACTCTCCATACCACTTGTCTGTCAGGGTGGAAGGCTGGAGGTTGATAAATCTGCAACCTGCTTCCTTGGCTGTAGCTTTGGCAATCAGGGTTTTGCCACAACCAGGGGGGCCATAGAGGAGGACTCCTGCAAAATTCATGGTGTTAATGACAGACCTGAGCGTGGTCCAGGCTTGGATTTCATCCAGGTCTTAAAAGGGAAGAAAGCAAGATAAGGCAACGCTGTTCCATCAAAGCAAATTCAGAGATATTCAAGATAATCCTTATTAAATTACAGCTAAGAATATCTAAAGGCAGGCATAGGGAAACTGGAGGGAGACATTTGGAAAAGGGCTGGTTTATTGTCCCAGCCCATGGCAGGGGGTTGGAATGAGATAATCTTTAAGGTCCCTTCCAGCCCAAACCATTCCGTGATTCCATCCCATGATTCTATTTCTGTGCCTATAAAGGTTCCATAAAAAAAAACAAACCCTAAGCCCCCATTTATTTCCTGCCAGCATCTGACAGGCCCTGTTTATAGCCAGTTTCTGCCCTGCTAATAAAACTTAGCACAGAGGGGTGAGAAAAGGAAAAAAAAAACAAAAACAAAAACCACCAAAAAACTGAGCCCACTGACATTTTAAACAAATTACCCCCAATTAAACATGACGTCTCGTATTATTTTTAAAGCTGTCACAGTGAAAGGACTCACAGGGGTGTTTTTCTACCACAGCTGTAAAGAAATTACAGAATTACAATTTAAAGAGACAAAATTCGGCCCCAAAAAAGCCTGAAACACAGAGAATTATTAAGGGTTTTTTCCCCTGTTTACGTGACTGAAGAGCACAAAGATCATCACTCTGCAGCAGTGAGTTGGTATTAACACACAGCACAGGCCACCAATAAAAACTGGGGAGCTGCCCTGCATGGAAAGTCTGCTTTAAAAAAGATAAATAAAAATATCATTTTTTCCCTTCAGCTTATTAGATCACGGCATTCAAGTAATTTTCCAGACAGCTTCAATCTGTGACTTGAAACAGAAAGTCAGCCTGGAAAAACCAAACCAGCCACAAAAGTGCTGCATTTTCCATCCCTTGGGGCACAGAAGCGAGAGGGTCACAGATCCAGGCAGGAATTAATAGGTTCAGAAGACAATATTCCAGGGATCAGAGCAGGAAAAGTAATCTTTGGTGTTTTGTCCAGTGTTTTAGGTTTAAACTCTGCTTTGCTTTGCAACAACATCCCACAAATGTGGCTGTAAGGATTGCAGCAGAGCCCAGCTGTCCTGTTTAACTGGGAAGTTGATTCTCCACCTGCCAGTTTCCTCACTGCCCCAACTCCAGAGAAAATCAAGGGATCTCTGGAGTAAAACTGGGATGTCTGTCTTGCTGGATGATGGGAATTTCCAGGATTAGAGCAGAGAGATGCCTCAAGCCTGGCTCCCACTGAGGGCTCATGTTATGACTTCTGTTTCTACAACAACACAGAAACATTAACCAAGTGTCAAAGCTGCAGAGCAAAGTCATAATTCAACTGCCAAAGGACAGGATGGGGTGCAAGATGAAAAACAAGACGACTCAGGCAGTTAAAAATGCAGGATACATGGATTACATGGGGCTGGAGCAGGGGGACAAGGGGGAATGGCTTCCCACTGCCAGAGGACAGGGTTAGATGGGATATTGGGAAGGAATTGTTCCCTGGGAGGGTGGGGAGGCCCTGGCACAGGTTGCCCAGAGAAGCTGTGGCTGCCCCTGGATCCCTGGAAGTGTCCAAGGCCAGGCTGGAATGAGATGGGCTTTAAGGTCCTTCCAATCCAAACCATTCCATGGTTCTATGCTTAGTGCACCAGAGTGTATCATCAGTGACCATTATTAACATGAAACTTCTTCATTAAAGCAGGAGAAGAGGGAAAATCTGAGGGTTTTCCCTGGCATCAGTCCTAATGGCTGCCCTTTGGCCTGGCAACACACTTCCCTTTTTGAGGAACTGCACCTTTTGTTTTTAAATACCAACATACAGACCCATAACATTCCTCTCCTACCTTTTGGGGGCTGTAAGAGCCTGGAATTCTCAAACAAATATTTCTTCTTGATGGGCAAAATGACAGTGTCTTTCAGATCTGTAATGACATCATCCAAGCCTGCAATATCACTCCAGGTGACCTAGGAGGGAAAGACAATATTAGGGATGATCAGCATAGTTCCTGACAAGGGGAAAATATCCTAAATTCCCCAAGGAAAAATACAAAAGCTTCAAAGTAGTGCATGGCCTGAAAAATAAGAGACAAGGGATTAAAAACCTCTGCTTTAACAACACAGTTGTAGTTTTAAACCACAGGAATGTTTTTTTGTGTGTTTCCACAGATGTGCATATGTGACAACTAATGAAATCCAGAGTCAAAGCCAAGATATTCCATGTCTGAAGGGCAGAAGGAGCAGGGAGAACTTACATGCATGCTAAGTGGGTCCACGAGATGTGCAGCAATGCTCATTTCATATTCTGTCAGCTTGACATTTTTCACTCCAATTTGCTTCATTAGTTTTTCAGCCTGGGGGGAAATCAAACACCAGGAGGATCAGAGACAGAACTGGAATGTCCCCCTCAAAACTTAGCTTTCTAAAATCTTTCTGGAAAGAAAAATCTTTTATGTGTCCCTAAGCCACACCCTAAAAGAGGTTAAATCTTGCTTTAAGTAGAGAGTTCTGATGCCTTCTAAAGATTTGTTGGCACCTGAGTGAAACCAAGTCAGATGTCTCAGTTCCCACCAAAGCAGTGTCACCCCAGCCCTCCCAGTCCCCATCCACGACTCAGCCATTATGACCCAAAACCCAACCCCAATAAACATTAAAACACAGAGTTTGGCTCCCCCAAACCTCCAGAGTGCTGCATCAAGGAGAGATTAATGTATTTTCAAGGTAAAAAAAGCCAATTCCCAGAAGCCAGTCAGTTTTTTAATATGCAGTCAGTGGGTTTTCCCCAGTTTAAAAGGAAAAGTCATGAGCTGTGTCAACACCCTTGCACAACTTAAGTTTCTCTTTCTGCTCAAACTGGCACTAAGTCCAACGTGTTTTTGGGATATTGCAGCTTCTTATATAACAGCTGGCACTGGCACAGGTTGGGAAAAGCTGATTTTTAACTCAAAAGTTCGTCAGGAAAGGAAAACCCACCAAAACAGGCTGAGGTTGCTCAAAAACTGCTCTTTGAACCTGTGAAATTTATGTCAGCCAGAAAGCAAACCAAACAGCTGCCACAATTCCAAAGGAAACGTCTCCCTTTTGGTTCTGAACTGCCCATAAAGGTTTTCCCAGGGCATGAATTGTTTTAATTCAACATAAGGCTTTTCACTTTTTCTCCTCCCCTTTCCAGGAAGAAAATTTGACTGCTCCCGGAGGTCTCTGCCATTAAGTTGCCTTAAAAGCAGCAGGGAATTAAGTTCTCTCTGCTCAAGGTTTTAAAAAGCAACCAGGAGACTGATGAGGGTGTGATTTAAAGCAACTGCTGCTCAGCAAAGTTGTCAGGAGGAGAAGCAGCACCGGGACCGTGGACTTGCTGAAAACCAGAACCAACATCAGCCTCCAGTTCAGCAGTTTAGCAGTTTTTCCACCCCTTCAAGGCAGAAGCTGTAATTCTGGAATTTTTTGAAGAGACCAGCAGCCTAAATCCTGAGATTTACTAAAAAAAGAAATCCCAGTTTTCTCTTGGACTATCCCACGTGCTTTCACCCGTTTTGCCATCGTCGCGGCCAGTCCGGTTTGCCACCAGAACATCCCGACATTCCACAGAAATGCTGAAAAACGGAGTGTTACCTGCTTCTGAGCTTCCACTTTCTGCTTCCTGGTGGGATCAATGGCATCAACCATCCACTTGATGGTGAAGTAGGTGACGGCCCCGAAGATGGTCAGGCGGAAGATGAGCCCCACCACCTCGTTCCGGCTCAGGGGCCGCGAGAAGGCCTCGGCGTGGACCATCCTGCTCCCAGATCTGCAGGGGGGGGGGGAAACCACAGGGAAGGGCAGAAGGAAGGAAAAATCAAAGCTGGGAAAACGTCTGCCTTGTGTTTAAACAGTGAGTTATAAAAGCTGTTTGCCAGGGCCTTTGGAGAAGGGCCTGCAGGGACAGGACAAGGGGGAATGGCTTCAAACTGAAGAGAGGAGGGTTAGATGGGATATTGGGAAGGAATTGTTCCCTGGGAGGGTGGGGAGGCCCTGGCACAGGTTGCCCAGAGAAGCTGTGGCTGCCCCTGGATCCCTGGAAGTGTCCAAAGCCAGGTTGGACGGGGCTTGGGGCAACCTGGGCTAGTGGAAGGTGTCCCTGCCCATGGCAGGGGGTGGAATGAGATGATCCTTAATTTCCCTTGCAACCCAAACCATCCTGGGATTCTGTGTACACATTCCCACTAAGACCAGCATTTTGGGACTGTTCTTGACCCAAGAATGCAAAATCCTGGAGACAGAGAACTCCATTATTTAACCAGAGAGGTCTTTTCCCTTCACCCAAGTGCCACATTCCGGAGCGATGGATGACTTGGATTTGATTAAATCGAGGTTAAGAGCTGGAGGCTGCACCTGGCAGGATATCTGTGGAGTTATTAATATCAGTAGAAACCTGAAAATGCTGGATGTGGCACACAGCTATCCAGGGAAAAGCCTGACTGCTGTAGGAGCCAAGCCCAGACAGCACAGCGCCTTCAGCGTAGGGGACGTGCTGCACAGAGGAAGGACTTTTCCTAAAACATTGGAAAATGGCTGGGAAAATCGGGGTCCCCTTCCTCCTCAGCTGGTGGGGGGGTTCCTCTTGACAATCCCCAATCACTCCTCGGGCACTGCCCCTTTTTCCTGCTGCAAGGAAAAGCCAGTGGCAATTCCCCTGGCAGCTCCTGACATTCCCTGGCTGCTCTCCAAAGGGAACTTTGGCAGCCAGGGCAAAGCTGGAGCACCCACAGCCAAGATATCCCTGGATTCCTCCTGCCCAGGGCAAAGCTGGAGCTCCTACAGCCAAGATATCCTTGGATCCCTGGATCCCCCTCCCTGTGTTATGCTGACCCCAAAGCTCTGCCACACCACTGACTCTGGAATTCCACTGGGACTGGGCTCAGGAGAAGCACCACTTGGTGGACATCAACCTCTGGCTCCTGTATCCCAGCAGGATCACTGGAATCACTGGGTTTGGGGTTTTTTTAACGCTCCCTTCCCTGTTCAGGCAGTTAAAAATCCAGCCTGTCGCTGTGCCCACCTGCCTGGAAACCAAATTAAATTTGCCTGCTTTGGGATTTAAGCAAGTCATTCCCAAGCTGGAGGGCTCTGTGTGCCGTCCTCAGCCTGATTCGTTACAATAAAAGGGCTCTGGGTCACTGAACAAGGAAAAATCCTTCCCAAAAACCCACGGAAGGAACCTCCTCTTTCTGCAACCCGTGCCCTGAGCACCAACTGCGAGGAAAAGCTGTAACAGGAGAGGAACCGGCGCACATCCTCGCTGAGCAGAGCCCTGATAACAAACAGAAGGTAAATGCTGCAGGACTCGAGCGTTTATTTCCTCAGCGGGGAGGACGGTTCGCTCCGCTCCGCCCATGCCGGCGCCAAAGGGAAACCAAAAGCACGGCGGCTGTTCCGCTCCCAGGGAATGCTGAGGCACTGCCGGGAACCCCCCGCCTGTGCCGGGCCCGGCGATGCCCTCCCATGCCGGGGATCCCCTCCCGGGCCCGTCATCCCCCCACGGTGACCCCGCGAGGGCCGGACCGGCCCGGGCCGCCCGTGACCTTCCCGCCGCCCCGCAGCTGCGGCGCGGCCGCGGCCGCTCCCCCGGCCGGCACTCACCGTGGGCCCGGCGGGTCACTCGCGCTGCGGGACACGGGGGGCGGGCCCGGAGGAGGAGGAGGAGAAGGAGGAAGGAGCGGCAGGAGCAGAAGGAGCCGCCGGCGGCACCGAGGGCCCGGCAGCGGCCGCGGCGCGTCCCGCGCTTCCTCCGGCCGGCCGGCACCCGCCGCCCCGCACGAACGTTCCGCCGGCCCGCGCGAAGGTTCCGCCCCCCGGCTGATCGGGAGCTCCCGCCTGGAAATGGTTCGGGATGGGACGGAGGGACCGGAACGAGCGTCAGCGGAAGGGAAGGAGTCACCGCTGCCTCAGCGGCGCGGGCACGGGGCTCCGACTGCGGCTGGGATGAGAGCGGTGGCTTGGGGCTCTCTGCTAGTGTGTGAAACGCGTATAAAATATAACCTATATAGGACATAACGTATACGTAACACATGCTCAGTATAGAGATACAGACATATACAGGTGGATATATAAGTGTGTATATAGTATATCTTTTATATATCATATATATTTTATATATACATATATATACATAAGCCTAAATAAATATATTTTTATATATTATATGGAAAGTTATCTATGTCTATTCATATATATTATATAGAAATTATATATTTTATATAGCTTAAATATATTTTATATATACACACATATACATAAGTAAATAAATGTGTATTTTTTATATTATATAGAAAGATATATAGATATATTTTTATGTATTATATAGAAAGTTAACTATTTTATATATATAAGAAATCATAGATAAGTAATTTGTATATATTACCATATATTATATATTACTATAAATTATATAGTGTATATTTTGTATTATAGTATGTAAATATATATTTTTATATATTATATTTAGATATATAGATATATAATCTATATTTAGATATATAGATTATATAGAAAGTTATATAGATTATATAGAAAGTTATCTATTTTATATATATTATATATTGTAGATGAGTAATTTGTATATATTACTATATATAATATATTAC